GAAGGCAAAAGAGTATTATGAACGTGCAGTTGCTATTAGTCTGGAAAAGCTCGGTCCTGATAATCTTGATGTTGCAACGTACTACAGTAACCTGGGTTTAGTACACCGCACCCTGGGTGACCTGGAGAAGGCAAAAGAGTACCAGGAACGTGCATTTACCATTCGTCTAGGAAAAGCTCGGTCCTGATAATCTTGATGTCGCAACGTCCTACAATAACCTGGCCTTAGTACACCACACCCTGGGTGACCTGGAGAAGGCAAAAGAGTATCATGAACGTGCACTTGCCATGCGTGTGAAAAAGGTCGGCCCTGAACATTGCGATGTATTAGCTGTTCACCGTAAGTTAACCCAGCTTCAACAGATGATGGAGAGTATGTCCCGAAAAAACCATGTTCATCATACTTGTTATGTATGTTACACAGCACTTTGAACTGATACACTGGTTCTTGTTAGGTTTAAGGTTACAAGTTGTGCCCGTATCTAGCTAGGGAATGTGAGGCGGGGATGACTGTGTTGACTTTTCTATAAAGGACTCAGATAAATGCGACAATTATTAAAGTTTGTAAATTGTTTATTTGCAATGGTTATGATGCGCGTTTTAGGGGAGTTGCACTTGAATACACATTTGAACACATTTCAGCGCTATACTCTCGTTGTCTTTTCGCATAACCAACGGGAGTTTTTTTTTTTTTTTGCCTTTTTTTCTTAATTTTTCGTTAACTTCATTTTAATTTCAAAATAGAGGCCTTATGTGACAGCTAGTCACAAAGTATATATCGAATAATTCAGGAATAACTCCCCCTTAAACTGTTTGTTATGACATTCTCTTTTAAAACGTTGCTGATAAATCATAACATTCACACGTTGTAGGTAAACGCATGCGCATGAGTTTCATTTTTTTTATCGCTAGCACGAAATTGCAAATGAAGTCATCTTCCATGCAAGGGAAAATAGATTTCCAAAGATTTGCTACTGTACCACTATTGAAAAAGACTCCGGGCCTTCATAGCGGTCCATGTTGTAAAATTTAGAACACCTGAAAAATGAATGTGTCTTAAATGACAAGACATGGAAGCTAGTTCCAAATACATGTCAAAAAATCAGTTCCTTAGACGTAAAGTAAGTGCATTTTTGTAAATAACTATTTCACTTCCAGTAGAGTTACGGTGGTACTTAGAGAGAGACCGAAACTGCGGCAGAACTGCGTCTTATTATTCACGAATATCTAGTTTTTAATCACTTTGAAACTGACGTGAGAGTGATAATTTGTATAATCTCGAATTCAGTTTCGTTAGTTATTAGTAGTAGATGTAATTTAGCCCACGTTTTTAGAGTATTTTATATTTTCAACTTTGTAATAGTACTTTAAATTTTTCAAACTTTTATCAAGGTTTATGTTATAGCAGTTCAATTTTTTAAGAACTATAAAAAAAAACCTTGATGAAAACAGCTTTCGTACTTGTTCTTTGTTTTCATATTAGTTCTGAAGAAACTCAGGCCCCGTGCACACTAGGTCGGAGAAATTTCAAAACGGCGTTTTCACTCTGAAAACGCATGAAACGTTTTTCGTCCACGCTACGCCAGAAAAATTTAAAAACGCAACAATTACCGGTACGTTTTGCATTTGCGTTTGAGGAAAGCTCGGTCAGGCAAATCACATGATCATCGTGACGTCATCGTTTTAAAAAAGTTATGTGTGCAAAGTGTTTTCTGTCCTCACTGAAACGCAAAGCAGGCGCCAGTTTCAAAATCCTCCGGCTACGTTTTCGAAAAGCTCCGTTTTAGTGATGGGTTAGTGTGGACGGTGGGCCTAACCGTAGAAATAAAGCTGCGTTTTCAAATTTCTGGATCCGGCGTGGTGTGAACGGGGCCTCAGCTGAATCGACGACGCGAGTTCTTAACCTAGATTTCCCTTCAGGTCGAGCTGCGAAAGCCGAGCTCGCAACGAGAAAAAGTTCTGAGACGTCCAGGAAACTAGATGTTGCCATGATAAAACGCATGATGTCACGCTTTTCTGAGTTTATTTTTTAATTCAAACAAGAAAATAAGCCTCGCCGTTCGATTTATCATGCCGAATTTAGTAAATAAACGAAGTTGTATAAGAATCTGTTGCAAACTCAAGAAAAAATGCGAATGTTTACAAAGAAATGTATGCCAGGGTGCTAGCGTTGCCCTCTGGCACATACTTCTCAGCTTGTAAAGAGGCAAGTATGGGATCCCATATTTTCATGAATTTGCGGCAGAATTTTATAAAATTTCGGATATTTACTGATCTGGGAATGATAAATTGATCTGTGAAAGTGGTTTTTTTCTTTATATCAAAAACACGAAAAATCGCTGTTATTGCGTGACATAGTCAGAAAGGTTATTTGGAGCAGCGGAGAATCCCTGGTTGCAAGTGCAGTCCGCATTTTCTATGCACGTGATCACTGATATCTCAATCCCCTTCGCGCCCTTGAGCTCATAAGGCCATATACACTCGATCACTCGCGTATGAAAAAACCCCGCAAATATCCTAATGTCCCAAAGATTAATTTCATGGGCTCCCTCTTTTTCTTAATTTTCTGCACAACATGAAAGTAATGACAGCGATACAAGCAGTGATGTCACGAAGCTGTCTGGTTGCGCCATCATCCAGCGTCCTTTGCAGACTTTCTTATGGCTTGACCAGGGCCACTAGTTTGACTTGACTTGGCCAGGGCCTCTAGTTTATCTGTGCTAACTGTAATGTGTTTTTACCCTCGTTAAATAAAGTTATTCTTCTTCTGCTTCTTGACACGAACTCCTCTCCGACATTTTGCGGAGGGAGGATTGCGTGACGAGCCTAACCGGCGTCTCCGCCTGGAGGCTAGTCAAGCCGTCAGATGGCCACTAATTTTGGATTCATGTCAGCCAGCCGACTCCAAACGACTTAAAACCTAAATCTTATTAATTTAAGGTACATCCAGGGTAAAATATCTACCCTTCAGTCTATAAATCGTGAAATTCCTGCCTTTACATATCTTCCAGCCCGAGGCAAGAAGTGGAGGTTTCCCGTCTAGTTCATAGTCTGAGCTATGGTTCTTGATATTGATTCCGAGTTATACCAGATACTGCTGCAAGGGAAGGATGAATGCCGATGACTGGAAAATAGTTTTTCATTTCAATATTACATTGTGCACAATTATTTTGCATTCAGCCTGCAACCTTTGCTCGCATTGCGGGCCTCTTGGTTGAGTTTTGAGAGACGACTGGGAATGAGTCAACTTGATACTGTCCCATGATGCTCTATTATTCGCCGCTTGTTCCTCTGTCAGCGGTCTCTCGTCTAAATGTAAATACGTTTCTTCGAGGAAAATAACAATATGACGAATGGAACAAATTTAGCTGAAATTTCGGTCGAATTCAGCCAGAAATCAACCGTTGAGGATTTTAAAAGCTGCTGCAAAGATCCAGCTTTTACTCGAAAGATGGACAACGATGTTCTTACCACGCTAAAGATCTTGATCATCGGAGAAAGTGGCGTAGGAAAATCAAGGTAAGCTTACGTATA